ATATGGGACATGACATAAGAGTCACATAGGTTAACAATTTCTTCAATTCCATTATTAGATGATGGCTGTCGTTTCAGCCTCCAGTGGGTGCGTTTACAAGGAAAAAAGCTATTCTAAAATAAGGGTTTTAGATGCAATAGATTAAAACAAGGGAGAGAGCAAAACAGAGTAAGAAAAAGGTTGCAATATCTTCATAGGTATTCTAGTTTTTCTTCAAAGAGTAATGTATTCTAGTGGCTTCCTAAGCAAGCCATATGAAAGCTTCTTACAACTAAGCCAAGTTAAAATAAAATAACTAAAAACCCAATTAAAATTAACTTTGTACATGTTGTAGAGTAAAACAAAATAAAATATAAAACTTCTAACTTTTGGCACATTAACTATAATCCACAAGAGTGGAGATGCAACTATTAAAGAATAAAAATCTATTCAGGGACTTTATTTAACAATTTAACCTCTTGACATGGTATCAAAGTTTGTACAATAAAGTATTCTAGCATTTAATCTTCGTCGCACCTATTATAATTAATTAAATTTCAGCACAAAGTATGGATGGGACTGTTCTTGTCCATACTTCAAACCCATAAGCTTTTACTTGAGGGGGCATATGTTAAAGAATAAAAATCTATTCAAGGACCACACCTAATAACTTGAGCTTTTAGATTGAATGGTTCCCTGAACAACCATTTACACATCACCACATGAAATTAAGGATATAGAGTTGAACACCCTTGATTTTTCCAAAATTGCTTCCAAGACATACCTCTCCAAGTGAGCTCTAGTGTAGATGAGGATGCATTGTTTTTTGTAATGAATTTATATGCAGAGGAGAAGCTAATTCATCCGTTAAGTTCAATCCCAACTCATAAATTTGTCGTTTGAGCCATGTTCAAAAGGTTCAAAATGTTACAATGTATCATACCATACTTTTATTTCTTTTTTTTTTTTTTACTGACAAAAATATTCATATAGAAACCAATTCATCAAGAACCACTGACTCCAAAACGGCACTGGTAATAGCACCCCTGAAGGACACAACTAGAGAATGTGCTAGAACATTATTGACTCTATTTACATATTTGAATTTCAGGTGAGTGGCAACACTAGAAATTTCCAATATATCAATCAGAATGTGCTGACATATGAACAAGAATAAGTGTGGCCAATAAGACCTCCTCTTGGTTTTGTGAGGCAACACTTCAGGTCTGTTTGTTTGTTCTTAAGTTTAATATCTAAAAGTGCAATAATTACATTAAGAGATATATTAGTATTGGTGAACTTTTATTTCTCTGAATTCTGAATGCAGAAAATGTTGTTTAGAATTCTGAATTTTGAAAATTTTCAAATATTCATTTTAACTTCATATATGAGAGTTTTTATTTGTATTTTTTAGGGTATCATTTGAAAACAAAAAGTTGTATGAATACACTTTAAGAGATAAGAGAAAACAAACAACCATTTGTTTCTTAAAGTTAAATGATTCTTCTTAAGAGATAAGAGTTAAGAGGGAACGAACAAGCCTTTCTTCAGGATCCACCCTCTCTTCGGTAATCACCTTCCTATTTCTTGATGAGGGGTAGTTTGGTCTTTCAATGACATCATGACACGTAGCCAATAAGACCTCCTATGATATCTCTGTTGTAACTCGATTAGGCGACCTACTCAGTCCGACATTCAAACTGTTTGTCAACAGGAAGAACCACATCGCGCATAATATCGACAGTGCAGTTGAAAACATTAGAAACCGCAACAATGATTCATTATTCATCTTCTTTAGGCGATGTTTGCACTCACCGGATCATGAACCCAACCAGCAACTGACGCAGCAGCACAATACTATAATCTCCATCCCAGCGTCGAACGAAACCAGATGGCACAAACTACAGAGCAAGTCCGAAATATATGTTCTGGGGTTTCTGTTGTATTACAACAGTATGAACAGCCAGAATTAGATGAGTCTCCAAATAACTTGTCCCTCATGGATAAAATTTTAATTTCCAAAATTTGCACCAAAAACCATCCTCTTGACTGGAGCCTCCATCCGATACCTATAGCTTATATACACTGATTTCGCAGAGAACCTTCCACTCCTCTCAGCTGCCCAGATTCACCCATCCTATGTCTGCTCACCGTTACGCCGAGAATAGCTCGGACAGAATCTTGGTCAAAATCAGGTTTGATCCAACAGGTCACCGACTCTTCCGATCAAATAAGGATCATGAACTGTAGGCAACTAGAGCTAGAAATTCGGCATTGCAGGCACCCACGGGTCCCCCCAAATTCTGGTAGACAACCCATCTCCAATTCTTCGAATGCACCCCTTCCACGGTAACTTCCTAGCATTGCAAATACCCCTCCACTCCACATCCAGCATTCGGATTTTTTAAATTTTAATGGATACCTCCATAAAATCCTCAAACGGGAAATGCTTCTTCAGAAGTTTCTAATTCGATGATGGATTCTTAGTTCTTATTTATGTATGATAATGCCCAACTTTGAATAATTCACCGTCTCCAATTCCCTCAAACGTTTCTTTTCCAAAAATCATAAATGTCATCTGCAAACATGATGTGATATTACATAATAGAAAGCTTCATTTTGTCAACAAATAATGAACAGATATGGAGACGGGGGGTCACCTTGCCGCAACCGCCTCTCTAAAACAAAAGGTCTCAGAATTTTTAGCATTTACCAAGAGAGAGAAAACTGGAGAAGATACACGTATGAATTAAAGCCAGGGCAGAGCCAAGTATCTTGGCGGGGGGAGGGGGTCATTGGCCCCCCAAACTTTTTTGTTAAATAATATTTATATATTAGCGGAGGGGCCTTACATTGCAGGGCTTGCAAAAACTAAATTATAGTATAGGAAAAAAATGAATTTGCAAAATGTAAATTTTTTAATTAAAAGTTTAAAATAAGTAGAAATTTATGGATAATAATATATTTAATTTAATAAATAAAACAATAGATAAATAAATAAAATTTTCAGTTTTGAAGTCAATTTAATATAAATAAATCAATTTTGTTGTTAAATAAAGAGTACAAATCTTTTTCTCAATTTCTTAGTCGGGCTTTGGGCTTTATATGGGGTCAGGCTTGGGCTCAAGATCTAGGCCGGATGGTCTAATCATGCTTAGGGTTGGACCTGAATATGTTCCATTGATATAAAGGCAAAGCCTAGCATGGCCTATGAATAGGTTTAATCCCAACCCCGGAGGTAGAGACAAGAGGACCCCAAGAAACCATGGCCCCCCTATTGCCCAACAAATCTCCACTCTTCATCTATATTTNCCCAATCCACTTTAATTTTGGCACCCCTCATAAAAAATTCCTAACTCTGCTTCTACCCAACCTAGACTATTGATAGCACTAAATTATCCCCCAATCCACTTAGATTTTAGCCCCCCTCATAAAAAATTCCTAACTCCGCCCCTGATTAAATCCCAAGGCCTCTTGAATCTTGGACACAAACACCCATTCCACTCAATCATATTCTTTTGTCATATCAACTTAAGAGCAAACACCCCATTCTTCTCTTTTGTATTCTTGATATAGTGGATTATTTTGTGTGCCACAATTCACTCTATCAACCATATTTTACCAACCAGTTTTTAAACCTTAGGATACACTAAATATATGGAATTTGAGGCATCTATCAAGTTTAAAGTACAGTTTTAGGTTTCCAATAATTGTGGCAAGATGGTGGTTGATTAAAACTTAAAGCCTATTTGGGAAGGCTTCTGAGTTTGGGGTGGGTTGTGTTAATTGAGCTACGGTGGCTGAGCACTAGACCACTAGACCATCTCATGCCACGCTAATAAGTAAAATAGCATAAGCTTCATCAAACTTGGGGGGTCACATGTGATCCAAATAAATAATATAATATATTAATATTTTATAAACGTTAATGAAATGAATGATCTATCAAATCCACACTAATCCATATTTATTCCAAAAAATGGTTTTTAACTTTAGAATAAAATTTATAGAAATAAAAAATACTAAGAATAAAATAATTATTTTCGTAATTAAAATTTATGAATTTTCATATGATATGTATCTAAGAAATTCCAATAAATCTGATATATTTTTAAATTAAGATTATACTTTTATAAATTATTAATTAATATTTTATTTTACATTAAATAACAATGTATTTATTAATTACATAAATAAAAATAGTGTTTCCAAAATATTTGAGAATTGAATATTAAGTTGACTATTTTTGTTAATATATAAAAGTAAGTAATAAAATTAAAAAAAAATGATTTAGTAACTAAAATATAATGGTTGCATGTGACAATTCTCATGAATGTTATATATGTTTTAGGTTAGTTATATATTTCTGTGATTATTAATTTATAATTTAACTTAAATAAATAAGAACATAATAATTGGCTTCTTACATGTAGTAATTTGTAAAATCTAAAATATATGTTTCATGTATTTTGGATTATTGATCGATGCATTATCATATACTGGTGTAATGTATTTTTTTCATATGTACCATTAAAACATGTATTTCTTATATATTTATATCTTATTCATGGTTATTTCAATTTTAAATCTAGTGCTAATAATGCATTTGTGGGATCTAAGAATTTCTCTAATGTATTTATATGTACCTATATCTTTCCACTGTATCTAAGTATATCTATATCCAAGCTTCCTAATACAATCCACAACGCCAATATTTTGAACCTTGCTATCAATTGTCAACCCAAAAATTTTAATCAAAGTATCAAACTGTTTGTAGAATAAAGGCATCAATATTATATTGCTACACAAAGTACTCACGCAGAAGAAACATCTTTATGAACTAGTATTATCAGGAAGATGCACCCGTCAGGCCAAGAGAGAAGAGACCATAACCCATTGTTGGTCCAAACCACCTGGAATCTGGGTGGGGTTGAACTGGATACGGTCCTAACCTTTTTACAGATTAAAAAAAAAAAAAACTCTTTTACGGGCTAAAACCTTCTCTGACCGATCGATGGAAATGAAAGTGCACAAAATGCCAGGAACATAAATTAAGACTTATATGGGAAAATGATATTCAACAACTGATCCTAACTCTAGATTTGGCCTCTTCTGAAGAGAAATGTATACAAGTATACAACTGATGCCCAATGGTTCCCTGAGTATCAACAGTAAAGCTTTATATACATTCGGATCACTAGTCCATGGCATAAGCAATTATATATATCATCTTGATGAAATAGGATAACGATGGAAGACCATCCTCCATGAATGCCTAGTGTAGTCCTGCATCCAAAGTGCTGCCTAAAAATTGAAAATGGCAGGTAAGGAAGAGTTCTAGTTTGGATGTCCAGACGGATTTCTGTTCCATGACAAGAAGGAAGGGTCCCCCAGAGGCCTGCAGAAATGCCAACACAGGTTCAGCCGATGTATCAACCATTAACTGGTACTTGAAACAGAGAATCGTAATTGTATTATTCTGATGCTTCTTTATCTGATTAGTGATTATCTACAATCTACACAGGCCATACATATAATCTCATATATAGTATTGGTATGTATCGTGTAAGGGTAAAACTTGGACAGGCCCATCCTGAACCTGGCCAACCCAACACGCAATTTTACACCGGCTGGGCTTGTTCAGTCCTCTGGCTGGCTCAGGGAGTTCAGGTTTTTTTTGGGGGGGTTGGGCCTGGGCCTAACCCTTAGGTAGCCTGAACCCAGCCTAATCCCCGCCGAGGCCCCAGCCTAACTCTATACATGTATAAAACATACTTTTATTTTGGCAAACCATACATATACACATTAAGTTTTTATTTCAACTTTTAGTATGGACTGATTGACCAACCCAGTCCAGGCTTGGGCCTTAGGCTTAATTCTTAGGGTTGGGCCTGGATTGAGCTTAAACCCCGCCCAGCCCACCTGATTCCTAGTATCATGTTTTACAAACTACAAACTGACCTATATTTAAAATTTGAACAGTAGAAACAATTGATCAGTGAAAGAAATATTGTATCCTTGAAGGCCATAAATTGTGAGATACAGACACAAATAAGGATGTGGAAAACAAGGATAGGACTATTTCCTTAAATCCAGGACATTTATGCAGGTATGGATATCCTATTTTACATAATTTTAAAAGTGTTAATGCTATAGAGTACATCTAGAAATGTCATCCAGTGTTGTATCCAGCAAATATCATGCCTGATACCAAATACAGGTATCCAGGTATCAAACAAAGTCTACAGGACTACAGCTACTTGGTGGGAAACAAGGATAGGACTATTTCCTTAAATCCAGGACATTTATACAGGTATGGATATCCTATTTTACATTGATCACATTGCCGCCCCATGGCCATCCCACAGCACATCCCAACTGTGTTTTGGGAACATCTCCCAATGAAAAGTACAGGAGATGTTCCCAATGGACACTGAGATGTACATGTGGGGCGTGCTCTGTGGGGCGCAAATATGAACTCTATTTTTATGTGTTAATGCTATAGACTACATCTAGAAGTGTCATGCAGTGTTTGTATCCAGCAAATATCATGCCTGAAACCAATATGCTAGGCATGTACAGGTATCCATCCAGGTATCGAAGTCTACAGCTACTTCTTGGTGGGACAGAAACAACAGGAATAAAAACAAGAAAATAATAAATAAAAGAAGAAAAAACTTGGGAGGAAAACAAGAAGAAGAAGAAGAAGAAGAAGACAAGAAAGAACCTCATATCACAAGTATCCAACATTGTAGAAGGGGAACCTTTATCCTGTGATCACTGACCACATAGGTCTTCCACAGGACTAAAAGTTCTAGTCATAATTTTAGATCAAGAAAGTTACTTAGGGAATAAGCAAAAAATAATAATTGCATTTTTGGTGAAGGAGAAAAAGAGGTCATATTTATTTATTTTTTCTCCAAATTCAATAGAAACTTACAAGTCTAAATTAGAGTGGCAATATACAATAAGGGGCCTCACCACTTAGATAAGGAAATCAGTTTGACATCAGGTTCTAATCTAATTAACACCCATACCCATGGTCATATGTTAGTCCAACCATTCATCACGGCTTGAAGCATCCTCAAAATTTTATCAATTTTTTATTTTATTTTCATAATAAAAATTTTGGAAATATAACTAGGGGTACAAGTCAAGAACCTGACTTGAAGAATTTATACAGCATTGGGCCTGGTAAACACTCAACCCAAGCCAGCCAAAGTGGAAGGCCTAAACGTAACTAAAGGCAACAACCCAGGGAAATTATTTTAAAATCCTTGGCGCTTTTGTCACTAATTAATACACAAATTTCTTTAAGATTAACAAGGTCCCTCTCTCACAAACAACACACAAAGTAAAAGTTAGTTCAGAATATGGAGGCATTTTTAAAACCAGTCTGTGCATCACATGGGTCCCTTAGTTTCCAGGAGAAAAAAGAAGAAATTTTTTGTCTCTCCAAATTCCATAGAAACTAACAAATTTAAATTAGAGTGGCAATCTAATAAGGGGCCTTGCTGCTCAGACGAGGAAAATGGTTTGGCACTTTGGCATCAGGTTGATTAAACCACCCATACCCATTGTCATACGTTCCTAAACAAACCCATTGGTGGGTAACAAGTTCCCCATCTTTTGAGGGCTCCTATTAAATCACAACCCTTCAAATTAAAGACATGGTCAAGAGAAAATAATATCATGGACCAACTGGAGCAGTCACTCACCTTGGCTTTATAACGTAGACAAGTATGAAGCTTATTGCAAAGAACAGACACATTCCACCAACAGTAAGATATGCAATGCCTAGGAAATCATTCTTTCCACCTATCCAAGTTGTTGTTGACAGAACTAGCTTCTTTTTGCCCCCGAAACTGTAAGTATTATAGTTGTTCTGTATTACCACCGTTATCACTTGCTTGGCTTCAAGGTCCACCTCTATCTTCCCATAAAGTTTTCTGAAAGTTGGCAGTGCTGCTGTTCGCATCCAAACAATAAGGTCCTCTTGTTCACTCAACTGTCATAAGTTGCATAAATAGCCAAACATAAGGATCTGAGAAAGTCAGGATTAAAACCAAACAAACTAGGAAAAAAACAAGAATGATGAGAAGAAAATAAAGCATTTACTGGTTTTTTGTCATCAAGTTTAGCACCCCCAATCAAGCTTCCATTCTGGAAATTTTTTGGAAATACATCAGAACCAAACTTACTGTCCTGGTCACTTTTCCAGGCAATGTTTTTCTTGCTAACTTCTAACACTTGATTATTAATTGAAAACCCATAGGTATCATTGAACAAGCTCCAAGCAATGAGACCACAAGGAACAATTGGAGACCCCCCTGGAGTGGTTCCTTCAGGATTACAGGAACTTGTGTCGGTCTCACTTTCCTTGCTCCGCAGTTGTTTATCGCTTCTGCTTTTGACATACCTGGAAACAAGTATTTTAACAGAGTATCATCTACTGTCCAGGAGAGTATGTGTCCAGATTTTCTTCAAGAAATACAAGCAGACTTCTTAAAACATAATGTGGTTAAAGAAAATGTTACCTAGGCCCATCCTAATCATAGCCCTGATTAATAAAAGTTAAAAATGACCTCAATATGAGATCAAATCAATGTATCCTGGTAAAATGCCTAGAAGTTTTTTTGGAAACAGTAATTTACATGTATTTAGTTATTTACTATTAACATAGAAGAACATTGGTATTAGGTAACTTAATACTACAAATTTTTTAGATATGGTCAAGGAGTGGGAATAACCAATTATTTTAGCTTTCTTAATTAAATATATGTCCACTTGGGTCTAAAATAAACACATTGTCAAATACACCACCAAGCTAAAAAATATCAACGGTCAATAGATAATGCATATATATTAATGGAAAGAAAATTATTCGTCATTGTTAGGAGGAACATTATGCATTGTTTCTTCATGGGAAGACCAAAAACAATTCTTATGTCCAAAAACATAGCAACAATAATTCAAACTATATAATGACTGTATTTATTTGTTTATTACAAAATGCTAGAAAAACTTTATACATGCAAAAGGTTTGTCAGACAAAATAACCAGCAAAAGGTGCCATAAGATTTGCTAAATTTATCTGATAATTAACAAAATCATATTTACAATACTAAAAGACCTTGCTACATGATAAGTCAGTATTCAGTAAGCTGGCAAAACAATGATGTCAAACCTATTCATCCACTACTTATCCTCCAACAACAATAAAGGAAGAGGGGGAACAGACCAAGGAAACCCTAATAAAAAACTAGCAAAATTCAATCCTGAAGCTGAAGGAAAATATGACAAAATGAATTCTCATTTCATGTGAAGAGTGCCCACCTGCGATGGTTCTGGTAGAAGTTATCGAGCTGATAATAAACATATACAGGATTCTTCATGTGCTTTGGAACCTGAAACATATGTGCAATTAATGGCTCACAAAAGATATAATTATGCTCCAAACACGTATAGAGCAAGAATACACCAAAAAATCCACTTTCTTGGTGCACCAAAGTTCTTAGTGGAATTGTACCAACCTCCAGAGTCCTTGTACAGGTCTTGTTTGTTTCATTGCTTTGTATAAATGCAAGCATATTTTCGCTATAATTCAGAGGAACACAGTCTTTATCATAGCGGTCTACAATTTCCACCACCTATAAATGAAGTAAACTTAACATGAAAGACCAAGATAAACTAAGAATAAGGTGCAAGTGCAGTGGAGGATCAGAGAAGGATTATGAATATTACACGCTCTGATGCAAACAAGGAAACAAGACCAATCGGGATGAAGATGATTCCGATAAATATAAAGGTTGTAATGACCTGACAAAAAATATTACATGAGACCATATTTCAGAGTGCAATAAAGAACAGTCCAGCAGATCAGAAAACAATTCTACCAGCTTTAAGCCAAACTTACCCATCCAGGAGTTAGAATTGGCTTGCAAGCAGGAAGTTCTTGCTGCGTAAACCTAGAATCTGCAATTGAGAAGTATCAAACTTTAGCTAAAAAAGAATGTTTTCAAAAGCATATACAATACCTAAAGCGATTCATCTAATTAGCAAAGAGGGGAAAAAACAACAAGGTAGCATTAAAAAAGCTAAGTAATAAATATCCTCATTAACACTTGCTAACCATTCTCACAATCCGCAGTCCTGTGTAATCTAACTGGCTAACCATGCTGATGGTGCTCTAAAACCAGTAGAAATGGTAATAGAATCTGCCAACTACCAATATTACTGCTCAAACACTACATATTGTATTGGTGGAGGATCGAGATAATCTTTAGTTTATCCATCTGAATAAATATAATAAGGGAGTGAGTTTGCTAGTTGAGTTGTTCAGAGAACTTTAACAGACCAAGTGATCATATGCATGATGACATAAATTTGGTCCCAAAGTGACTCCACATGTGTGCATGTTTCCTTATGTATATGATAAACTTGAGCTGAGAAGACCTAGACACATGACTAAAATAAGTTCTTTTATGTGGAAGTTTTTAAATTAAAAAAAAAAAAAAAAATTGAAACCTTGAATGGTAATATTATTTGGGGAAAACCACAAAACAAGGTGGGGCATAGGTGCTAATGTAGACAAGCCATGGATGGTCCAGTGTGCCCCAATACCACTATTACCACCACCATCCTCCATGGACAATCCAGAGGATTGCCCTAATGATACTTTTTATTATTTGTGTTTCAATAGCTAGTTAAGGGTTAATGAACAAGTTGACTAAGACTGATATTTCCAATGGGACCAAGAAGAGATGTTATTCTACTAAAGAAACCCAAAAAGAAAGAAAGAAAAGAAAAAAAAGAGAAAAAGAAAAACCTAGTTGAGATAGTTGAGAAAGTATAGAATGAATTGACAAAGAATTACTAGAGGAGAGAACAGATACTTGGGAAAAAAAGCTCCTGTAGAACATAATTCACTAATTTATATTCATCAAGATAACTCTTAAAATCTGAATGTGAGATTACAAAAAAGACTATTTATATACTTAAGCAAGGGGATTGATTTCCTTTACAAACTTCAATACTAAAATAAATATAACCTCTTTAAATTCTAAAATACTCCAACAATACATCCAACTCTTTACGCTATTCAAGTTTCTTTATATGATAATTACAAACTATTAAATTATTCTATAAAAGCTAAAATTTAACCAATTGGAAGAGTTTGGAAGGGTAGAAGAGAGGAAGGAATAGATTGGTCATAGGTTAATGGAGCTAGATGAGGAGGCTGAAAGGCAGTTGGGGGTGGAAGGGAGGGAGGAAGGCAGAATCTAAAAGTAAAACTAGAAGAAATTTTGAGAAAGGAAGAGATAATAGGAAGGCAAAAATCAAAATGCAAATGGCTCAAAGAAGGGGATGGTAACACAAGGTTCTCCCATGTCTTGGCAAATGGGAGGAAGAGGATAAAGACGGTCAAAATTGGAATTGAATGGATCATTTCTAACTGAAGAGGATATAACAAAGGCCTTTGTGGACCATTTAAAGTCCATCTTTGATAAACTGGGAGGATTGAAAGATCTCACAAGAGTTGAAGTGGCAGGAAGGGAATAGGGAGCTATTGGAAACTCTGGAGAAAAACTTTGAAGCTCAAGAAGTGAAAGAAGCAATTTTCTCTAATGATAGATCAAAAGCTCCATAACCGGATGGCTTTTCAATGGCTTTTTACCAAGACTGTTGGGACATCTTAAGAGATGACCCCTTGAAGGTTTTTGAGGAACTCTTTGGGATAAGCAAAATAAAATCGGGTGCTAATGCTACTTTTATTTCACCTAATCGCCAAGCAGTTCTGTACATTGTGTTATAAAATACTTTTATATTCTTAATTTTTTTGGGATTATAATTATAAAATAGACATTATTAAACTAAAATATTCATTTTGTGTGTTTATATACTAATTTCTTTTTATTATTTTCTTATTTGTTAGGGTTTAATCAACACTGTGAATAATTCGATTAACCCTAGTTCAATTCTAGGTCTGAAGTAAGTAAGAAGAGAAGAAAAGAGAGAAAGAAGAAAAAAGAAGGAGAAAGGGTTCAGTCTGAGAAAAAGAAAAGTCACCTCTCTCAGCCGACTCACTTTGTATTTACTCTTTGTATTACATTACAAAAGATAGGGTTGTCCCTCATTAAGTATGGAACACACAAATTAAACCCAAACAAAATAAACAACTTAACCTTAATTAGATAGACAAAAGAATTAACTACCCTTGTACTGTCGATTCTAACACTCCCCCTCAAGCTAGAGAGTCTATATCATATAGTCCCAGCTTGTCACATATGTAATCCACTCTTCCTCGACTCAACCCTTTTGTAAACAGATCTGCCCACTGGTTTCCTGAACCCACATGAGTTGTATTTATCACTCCATTGATCACCTTTTCTCTTACAAAGTGGTAGTCATCTTCGATATGCTTTGTTGAGATCATGAAAGACTAGATTAGAAGAAATATGGACAGCAGCTTGATTATCGCAGTACAACCTCATGGGTCCATCAATTGAGAACCCGATTTCCTGCAAAATATTTTTCAGCCACACTAGTTCACATGTAGCATGAGCCATAGCCCTATACTCAACTTTTGCACTGCTTCTTGCCACCATTGTTTTTTTCTTGCTCTTCCAAGTTACTAGATTGCCACTAAGGAAGGTACAATACCCTGTAGTGGATCTCCGATCAAACACAGATCCGACCCAGTCAACATCTGTATACCCCTCTATCTCAAGAGCTCATCCACTTTTGTATAACAGACCATGACCTAGAGCTCCCTTCAAGTACCTAACTATTCTTAGAACTGCTTTCCAATGCAGAACTCGTGCATAAACTGACTCACCATGCTTACAGCAAATGATATATCTGTCCAGTAATAGTCAGGTAGTTCAATTTTCCCACCAACCTCCTGTACCATCCAGGATCATCAAACTCTTCACCTGCATCAATACTCGACTTAACATTCAGTTCCATGGGTGTTTCAGCTGGTTTGGCACCCAACAACCTTGTCTCTTCAAGTAAATCAGGGACATACTTCCTTTGGAACAAGTTAATTCCATGTCTTGACCTTGCAACTTCCATTCCCAAGAAATATTTCAGCTACCCAGATCTTTTGTGTGGAAGTGATCCTGTAGAAAGTTTTTCAACCTGCCAATCCCATTGATGCCACTACCAGTTATGACAATATCATCCACATACACCACTAACAAGATTTTCCTAGCTTCTGATTCACGGATGAACACAGAATGGTCTACTTGACACTGTTTCATGCCAAAGTTCTTCACTACTTCACTAAATCTGCCAAACCACACACGTGGAGATTGTTTTAGTCCATAAATCGCCTTCTTAAGTTTGCAAACCCAGGTGGTTGCTCCATATATACCTCTTCAACTAGATCACCACGTAAGAAGGCATTTTTTATGTCAAGCTGAAAGAGGGGCTAATCATGCATTTGTGCTAAAGAAATCATAAATTGAATTGAAACAATCTTAGCCATAGGAGAAAATGTCTCTGTATAGTCAACACCATATAACTGAGAATAGCCTTTGGCCACTAACCTGGCTTTCAACCATTCCACACTACCATCTAGAAGACATTTCACTGTGTAGACCCACTTACATCCAACGACATGCTACTAGGAGGGAGAGTGATAAGTTCTCATCCATGTATGATTGTGTGCCAGTGCAAACAATTCCTCTTCCATTGCTTGTTACCACCCTATAGAAGTGATGGCTTCTTGGACAGTCTTAGAAATGGAAACAAATGATAACAAGGATATAAAATGCCGATGGGAAGCGTGAAGGTGAGCAATAGAAACATATTGAGAAATAGGATGAGATGTACAACTACGTTTACCTTTCCGCAATGCAATAGGAAGATTATGGTCAGAAGGAAGAGGTGCAACTGTAGGATCCGTCGACAAGGGCTGAACTAGAGGAGGGGCCAATGCTCTTCTGTGAGTATACACTTGTGTGATTGGTGGCCTCTCAGTATTAACCTGCATTGGAGAAGACGACGACTAAGATAGAACAGGAACCATAAGAAGAGGGTCCTCAACTGGAACTGAAAGTAGAAACATAGGAGCAGGAGGAGGGACATCAGCATTCAAGAAGAATGGAATTGACTCAAAGAAAGTGACATCAGAACACACAAAGGACCGATGAGAGCTAGGGTTATAACACTTGTACCCTTTCTAGGTTCTGGAGTAGCCAAGGAAGATGCATTTTGTAGCACGTGCATCTAACTTGCCCAGTCCAGGCCCTAAATTCTAAAAAAAAAAACAAACACAACCAAAGACTCTAGTTTGTAGCACGTGCATCTAACTTCTCATACACCTCACATGGGCCACTGACCATTTCCTTCCCAGAAGCACCAATAGATGTGGAGGGGATCTGATCAGCCTGCTGGTTCTCACTAATTGTACTACCACCACTAGTCATAGCATGATTAGCCCAAGTGTTGAGTGGACCATGTAAGTCATAATAGAAGTTAATAGTGTGTCCCTCTAATCCACAATATGTGCATCTCCTAGTACCAGTACTTCTTCCTCCACCATGACCTCCTCCTGAATCTTGACCTCCACTGCGGCTACCAATACGATTAAACGTAGGACCACCTCGAGTCCCTGGAAATCCACGACCACCTCCACCACTTCTATTTCCACGACCTCCCCCTCTTGTCACCACAAAACCAGACCTGTCCAAGAGAGAGTAAGACTTCGTAGGGTCAAGTTGCTCTCGCTGGAGCCAGAGGGTGATACACATTAAGCTCATTACGAAGGTTTCTCATGCTTGCATAGTATTCTTCTAAGCTTTGATTACCCTGCTTCAGGTTAAAGTACTCCTAGTAAAGTTGGTACACTCTAGTGGTATTATCTTGGCCAAAATAGAGTTTCTTAGCATAGTCCCAGATTTCCTTAGTTGTATTCAGGAACATAAAATTAACACTAATTTTAGGTTCCACGCTATTCCACAACCAGG